TATTCATGAGGTTGTCAACCATAAAGCCGGATCTATAAATCCTTTCAATGGAACTCATGCTAATTCCATTGAAAGTTTCTGGAGTCATCTCAAGAAACGGATAAAATCGGTGAACGGATCAAGAAATCCAATGATTTACAGTTATCTCGACGAGTTTATGTATAGGACTTGGTTTAACATGAATTTAAAGACTCCTATGTCTAATTGGGACTTTTTTGCAACATATACGAGAACGCTATCCTTTGTAACTATTTTTTAACATTGCTTTACTTGTATATAAACGATTTACTAAAATTATGCGCCGTTCATTTTAAGCCTTCTGATTGGTTAAAATTGTCCTTGTCAAGGTCATTTGTCCGTACGTTCGTTTGGGTTCCTAAAGTTTAGAGTCACCCTTAAAACATCGTTTACGGTAGACTAACTAACGTTTTATAAGCCATTTTTATACTTTTGTGACTAGCCCACCATATCGACCGAATGTAACGCAACACTCAGTTGTTCCGCTCATGTTCAACAAATTCAAACAATAATTGTGCCTAGGATTATGCCATATAAACTGTTTTAACTTATGCAGAGTGTACTTACGGTCAATATTTCATTATCTTCCCTTATATATATATATTTCGTGTTAGTGAAAAATTTTAAGCATGTTTACTCAATGTGTGCATTATTACCATATTGTTGATGCCCGTCAACTGGAGTCCCTCATGTGCATAAAGTGGGAATATATTATTGTAAGACGCATTTTATCGTTTTATGAGGGAATTGACTTCAAGCTTTATTTATTTTCCCAAGTGTATGTAATCCATCCAACGCATACTTGGGTTTTTTTTGTTAATGCGAAGTCAATATCTCTATATTTGTTGGTGTGTTCCATTGAATCACCAGTTATCCGATTTTCCCCACAAACTAAAGACAAAATGACAACAACCATGTTATATAACCGTAAATCATGTAATTTAAATATGTAACTTAAATAATTCTTATCCATTCCTATACAACTTGTGTGTCCTATATTTGTATGAACAAATATGTACCCTATTATATTATCATTACTAACTATACTTACTAATCGTATGTGTAATTTATCGAAGTGATGATGCCTGTAAACTGGTGTCCCTCATGTAAAAAATGAGAATATACTATTATTATTATTATTATGAAACAGTCGTTTGTATCAAATTTCTGAATAGTACATGAAGCAGCAAAAAGTTACGTATACGATACCTCTGTGTGTGGTTTTAGATCAGTGGCTTATGTCTGGCATTCCAAAGAAACTAGAAATGCTTGTTGTGATCTTATCATGGCGCAAGCCAGATTAGCAGTTCTTAAAGTCCAAATCATACCACTCTTGAACTAACTGTAGCTGTTTTGGCTGTCCGCATTGATTGCTGCGTTCAGAAATGAGCGTAATTTCCACCAAGGTGACATTCTGGACTGAATAAAAGATTTTCGCAACATCAATAGTTCGAATAACTAATCTGTGACATCCGTGAATAGCCGAATGTCAACAATTCGCAGCCTAACAAAGAATTCTCAGTGAAGGCAAGTTTCCTTGAAAGGGAATATCACAGTTTTTGTAACTCGTAACATAATTGATCGTGCCTGTAAAAATGGCATGCATTTCATGTAAACTTACCCGTTTATACGAAATATATATTATTATTATTATGCGCCTTAAGGATGAATATCATAACTCAAGACCCACAAGAACCTCATCCCCAAGTGCTCTCAAAGCTGAGTCACCAGTATCAGACGTAACAGTGAAGCCAGGTGTCAATCAAATAGAGATAAAGCCTATGGTGGTCGAAAATATCGCATTTAGTGATAGTGGGGTTCTGAATTGCATCTCAGATTGAACCGGACTGTTGAAGACAGTACCTAGATTGGCTCAATTTACATGTTACGTACTCATAATAGACTTCGGCAGAGGGGATACGTCAATGAATTTAGGCTCACTGGAGGTAAATGGATTACAAAGCGCAAGCCACCCCACAGACGAAACTATCAGCTGCAACAGCAATAACCCAACAAAAATATCAAACTGAGTCCAAACAAATAATAATGTCCCCTATCGTAGAAAAGAATATTTAGGGAATATAGTCTGCAATGTTAAAATCGTTCAGAGTAGATTTTGCATATGAGACAACAAAAATTCTATTTAAAATATTTTAGACCGTGCACTCGGGAAAAAGATCAAATCCATCTGTGAAATAAGCTGCAACAAATGTCTAGAAACAATATGCAGGTGAAAGCGAACATCAAATTCTACTCCAGATACAGGGAAATTAACTACATTTAGAGTGATATTTTGGTGGTGTGATACAGACAATGTGTTCCGGTGGATTATTATTCCCGTATGTTCCCACAGTTCAAAACTGCATCAGTAACAGAATGCCATATGAATATCAACATTCTACTTCATGTCGTTTAATGTAAACCAAAATCCCATGCTTAGTGATTGTTTAACGGTTATAAAACTATATATAAATAGTGTTTTGATCACTTGAAAATATGCCTTTGCTCCCGTGTCTTGCCTACAGCTGTTACACGTGGCGCGTCTACCTTTCGAGAAATGGAAACCCAATAGACTGCAGTTTTGGAAAAAGGAGACATATGGATCTTCTTGAGGAATTTCCAGACTGTTGCGGAGTTGAATGGCGTTCCTGAGCCGTCGGCGAAAACGCTTTTAATTGAAACGCTCCTGAGAGGTCCTGCGAAGGCAGCGTAGTGCGGACAGAAGGGAAAGAAACTTGGAATTCAATAGTGGGAGGCCTGAAGGAGGAGTTTGAGAGCTTAGTGGACAGAGAGAAGGTGACTTAGCATTTTCACACTACGAAGCTTGGAGGTGACGTTGATCCTCTCGTATTGACTCTGACCCTGACAAACTACTGCGTCGCGCTCTGCCAACATTGTATGAAGATTCTGGGACACAAATGTTGGCGTTGCAGTTTGTGAAGAGTGTTTCAGAACACATATCTCAACTGCTTCATCGAATTCACTTCGCACTGCCACCGGACACTAGGGAGATGGCAAAGGTGACCAGGTAACTATTAAGCAAGACGGTTTCCACGATAGAGCAACTAAAAGACAAGCAGGGTGGGCAGCAAACTGAAGAGTTGCAATGTGAAGTGGCCACGCTGAGAATGAGCGAAAGGAGAGAGCGGTGTTTTGCACACAGCAAGCTGGAACATTGGAAAAACCGTTCCCCGGAGAGTCGACACAAAATGTTTTAAAAAGTATACTGTGTCTTTTCTGGTCTCCGAGATTAAAGGTAATACGGGCGAATGGGAAGGGGGCGGTGTATTCGAAGTTGTGCATAAATGAGTGTGAGTTAGTGTTTCTAAAAGACATAGGAACAGAAGTCTCAGTCGTAGATAAGAGTTTATGCGAGAGTGTAAGGCCGTGTTCGTTACCAGTGCACACAGTAGGCAGCCAAATGTTAAGAATAGCGAGAGTGTCAGAATGCGGAGTTCGTATTGGAGAGGGCAACGCGACGTTTGCATTCCTGAGTGTACCTAAGTTGCACCGAAAAAATCCATGAAATGGACTTTTGGCGAGATATGGATGCAAAGATTAACGTGAAGCAATTATGGATACCGGTTCAACTATAAAACGTTTGAGAGGGCAAAAGAACCGGATGCGCCGGCGAATTCATAGGATCCTGGTAATCAGGTCAGTCTCCACACAAAAGACATGATCACACAGATCAAACTGATAAATCAATAAAGACTGAGTCATGAGATAGAAATCTAAATTACAGGTCAGTGGATTTCAGAAGATGGTGAGATTAAGGGGTGTTGAGTCGTACTCAAGGTACTCTGTATACAACAAAAGTTCATAGACCAGAGAAAAATCAAAACACCAAAGTGATCCTCCAAAATACGAGATATTTTAGGATCAAACTCGTAGTGCGAAGACGACTATTTAGTCAGATAGGGATTGTTTGCGAACGGTCGAGCTTAATCCGACAGCGTGCCGACTGGGATGAACGCTTGACCATTAACCTTTAGGTTAACGAGTGGATATAAAGGGTAAAAGTTAGCATCTAATGCAGGGTGGAGCATGCTATGGGTTATAAGATTCGGGAATTATCTACTGCTACAGGATGCACAGGCTGGCGGACTTGTATGAAAATGTCGTTCTGTACAAAATAAGTGGGTGGAACATGGAATAATGCACACAACGAAATGTAATTATTTGCGTGGTAAAATTTAGTTCAAATGTTTTTGTTAAAAATCAAACTAAGGTCGACGTAGCGAAATGGAAAACCAGATCTTCAAGCTAATCATATAAGTCTGAAAGGATCATAACTTATCCTGTTATGGTCTGAACCCGAGAAAATTAACTCGATGTTTTGTTATATAACCAGGAAAACTTCATTGAAACACGCCCTATCACGAAACGTTTCAAAAGCTGGGGAAGGACAATTACACTCTAATATTTTAGGGATTCTATTAAACAGAGGCTCAGGTTTACCTCAATAACGCTGTGGGGCAAGGTGTGTTTCTCAATACAAAACAGGTACTGTAAGACAAAATTGGTTAACCTCAGTTCAGTTGTAAAAGGTACCTTAGGATCAGTGTAGATATTTTCAACGGGGTGGTATCACAAGCCATGTCAACAAGAAGCACACAAAGGATTCTCACAGAAAGCTCCGGGTCAGAACGACCTCCATTCACTCAAAATTACTTATGAAGTCAAAAGACACATTGATGGCGTACACACAACCAAAAAGAAGTATAACAATGAAAGATTAAACAGGAAAATGCAAATAATAAAGGCCTAAAATCAACATGTGGTATGAAAAAGTCATATTAATGATACGTATTCCAGGAGGAAAGCGTATAGTAATTACAAAGTTGTATCAAAAAGTCTGTGCGGAGTCAAGCTATAATAAAAATACAAACTTTATAATTATATCATCCAGAATAATTCGTCCACTATAAGGTTTCTGCATTGCAATTCTAATACAATCTGCCCTACTCCAACAAGAAATTATGGTACTCTTTGGACAACTGATGGTGATAGCAGCAGCTAAAAGATGTCATCCTAACCAACTACACTCAATATGCATTCAGGATAGAATCATCCAGCAAGATAAAGACCGATTAAGTTCTTTATCGTCCTGGGTAAGTAATAGTGAATGAAACGGTTGTCCACAACTTTCAGTAGTTTTTCAAGTTTACTCAATATTTACATTCTATTAGAAGAATCGAGTGTTAGTTAAGAAGAGCAGACGGTTTGGATTTATGGCCAAACCTTGATGCTTACTGCCATTTATAATTGAATGACTCCAGAACAGAAACAGTAAGCGAAATACAGCAAGAACTGCCACATACCCATTTAAAATGCGTTGAAAAGTTGAAATTCAGCACAATATGCTCACCCTTCCCATTTCATGATACTCTTGTTGATGTGATATTGAGTATTGTATATAAGGTGGCGGGCAACTTGACTCAGCCGCTACATTCGCCCACTGGTATGTTCGCATCACGTTGGTTATTTCATCCTATCGGTAGCTTGCATTTTGAATATGACAATCGTATTGCATTTTTTCTCCATAAGTCGTTTCACAGGTTAATTCATAGAATAGCAACAAAGATGAACTTTAGAAATCACTATGGGTAAACGAATGCAAATTCTCCTACCCTAAAGCCTTCTTCAACCCTTAGCCATAGCTTTAAGCTTAACGAAATTATGGAACTGAGTGAATTCCCATCGTTCATGGGTAGTTTCATGGGTTCCCCTGGAGTCATTCTGAAGGTAAATCCGCTATATGCCTCCGGCACCAATCGTCTGTTATCAAGAGGGGTAACGAATGACCTTGCACCAAACAATCAATTCTCCCAACATAAAAATTAAATATTTTTCAAAATCCTTTTAGCAAGTTTCGCCCGTATTCAGGGTTATTGTTAAAGTTAGGTTGAAACTTGCAACAAAGATTATGGGCAGCATCCATTTGACATGCTGAGCAGTGGAACCATCACCATTATGTATATTCATCATAAAGTCATTTATCAGTATTAGTGGATCCTACTACCTGTACTCATGCAGATTCAGGTTTGTTTACAATTGTCACTCCTAGGAATATTGAAACTTTTTGCAGCATGTTGGAGACATGCCACATATGACTCATTTTTGTAATGCGTATATCCCGTCTCCGGCGTAGACGTGACATCCGACTATCGATCAAAGGGCGTGTGTACTGCTCAACAGTCCCCTCCGTCCTCCTTTATGTCTGTGAGACATGGCCATTGAGAGCAGAAGACATGAAAAGATTATCTGTCTTCTATCATAGGTGTCTGCGTTCTATCTCCCGTGTGAAGTGGTATAATAAGGTGGGCAATATTGAGGTTAGGCGTCGAGTGCTAGGTAAGGAGGGGAAATCAGTCGACGAGATTGTGGAATTACATTGACTGAGATGGTTAGGACATGTGCTACGTATGCCTAGTTATCGCCTTCCTCGACGGGCAATGTTAGCTGATATTGGGCCAGGCTGAAAAAGAGCTAGCGGCGGTCAAACCAAAACATGGCACCAGTCAATGAAATCTACAGCAGTTATTTTAAGCCAGCCACGTAGGAAGGTGTAGACTTCCTGGTTGGGGCCCTCGGGACGGTAAAATCTAATGGTTGGAAACAATTGGTGACATGGCTCAAAATCGTTCTCACTGGCTAATGCAGATGCATCCACCCTTTGTGACTTATGATTTCCAATGAAACTGTTTTGTTCTTCGTTATTACTATTCCTTTGTCTCACACCTCTGTTTACTGACTATATTGTGCATTTCTTCTACTTTCTTCTCTTGCTTTGTGTGCTACATTGAGTGTGGCGACTTGAACTGCCGCACATATGTGCGAAGTTCTATGTCGAAAACCCACCGACCGACCGATGCGTATATCCAGTAAACATTTTTTTATGTATCATCAATGCCACTTTACCTAGGAGCACATAAATGGCTGATTGGGGGTCATTTGAATGTGATATCTTTTCTTCCCTGTTGTTCTGTTACCACCGAATATAATCACCTGTAATCTTGCATGGAGGATTTCATCATGAGCTGACATCAGTTAGAGATCCATTGGAAGACCTGCAAAGAGTACTGAAAGCTGTTTCGTACTGGTTGGGGACTTTTTAGCAGTACGCACTCACCGGGGTTTCGAAGAATCCGAAACTAGGACGAAACAGCTGTCCAGTACCCCCAGCTTTTCCAATGGTTTTCTAACTGATGTCAGCTCATGATGAAGTCCTCCATGCAATCTACGAAACCAATACCTGTAATTTTACTGTGGCATAAGGCGGCAGGTATAATAACGTGTATAGGGACTTAGCACGCTAAAGTTGTCTTTCGATACCAGAACAGAGATCAGTGACATGCATCAAAATATATTAGTCCGAAGTATATGGATGGCTTCGTTGTAATCGTACGTATATACACTGTCACTCAGAATTATTCCGTTTGTTTTCGAGTAGAACACAAGGTTTCCGCAGCTGTAGATCTTCTTCTTCTTTGCTTCGGCTATCTCCTACGGAAGGATGAGCCGGCTTCATGAACTTCTCAAATCATCGCTACCCAGGCGCAGCGATCTGATGAAGAGAGTTTACGAAGTTTCATGGGAATTTGGTACGAGTGATGTCCCCAGAACCACTCGGCCTTTTGTTTGAGAGTGCAGCTCTAGCCTTCACACAGCCAAGTGTGACCTACAAGGCAGTAGGAGTGGAGTAGGGAGTCCACTATCCATTGGCAGCCGGTGACCGGAGTTCGGTTCATACGCTATTTTGAATGGGGCCAGACATCCAGGACATCCAACAAGCCCTTTGTCCATACGTCTGCCGGTGAGCTCCAGTGAGCTTCATACGCCAGTCGTTGGAGGTTTGGAATCAGGGTTTAGCCATCTCCCCTAGACTGTCATCCAATGGACAGTCAACCTGGTGAAGAGCGCCGGGCATCCGCTTTCGCCCTCTCACTTTGGTGAAAAACACCTCCGCCACGTGAAGGCAGTGAGTAGGACTTCCTCAGGAGAGGCTATGTAAGACGCCCGGTCATATGGGAGCATTTGAAGAGGTGTGCGGAGGGGTGGCCAACCCGCAGCGCAAGGCACCCACCCCCGACCATCCTGAGGCTTTGGAGGCAGCTGTAGATGAAAGTCTGCATCCCGTTGGGAATACCTTTCGTGACGCGCCATGTACGATACTAACGCACTGTTTGAGACGAAAGTTATTATGGTAATCGCTATAGTTATTTTACTATCATCACCCGTTCTTATAGCCAAGTTGAATTGAGTAACTATAACCGTTGACGGATGACAGTCAAACAACGTATACTTCCCCGATCGATAGCTGGTACCTTGACATGGTGATCGGGCTTGCACATCGTGATGACCCAGTAAGCTACATTGGCTGGAACTATTGTTCCTGCAGGTCCTACAATGTCAGGAGGGATTGCCGAGAAAATATATTGCACTGACCAAGGCACTGTACTTGCACTCATGCCGTCAGCCGTATAATGAGAGCCCACGGCGGCTTGTCATGTGAACTGGTGACAACTACTGGTGTCGGTCAGGGATGCATACTGTCCCCATTTCTGTTCAATTTCATCATAAATATACCAATGGACTTAGCTCTTAGTGACTTCAGCAAATCAGGGATTGACTTGTTGCCGTCAGGGAATAATCTCGTTGACTTAGAATATGCAGATGATATCGTTCTGACTCCTAGATGAAGGCAATGACAAAATGCAGAGTCTTCTGAACACTTAGAGCTGCGATCTACGAATGTTTCGCATGTGATTTACTCCTGCTGTCAATTGTAAGATGGTGCTACAGGACTGGACTACACTGACTCCTAGCTTAGAAATAGAGAGTGAAGTGGTTAGTGGAGCGTGTTGACCACTTCACTGATTTGAGAAGTTGCATCGACCATCCTTAGTGGGTTGATGACTGGCGAAAAATCAGCACAGATACAGAAGTTTAGTTTCGCATATACTCGCCAGTTTACGTCGTCTCTGGCAGTAGACGTGATATCCGACTATAGACCAAAGTGCGTGTGTACTGCTCAGCAGTCCGCTCAGTCCTCCTTGATGGCTGTGAAACATGGCCCCCCAAGCACTCGACACCCAACCTCAATATTGCTCAACCTATTATACCACTGACTAACACGGGAGATAGAACGCAGGCACCTATGATCGAAGACAGCTAATTCTTTTCATGTCTTCCACTCTCAATAGTCATATCCCATGGCCAGCCATAAAGGAGAACGGAGCGGACTGCTGAGCAGTAGTACAAACGCCCTTTGATTGGAAACCAGCCAGCCGGATATCACGTCTACTAAGCCAGAGACGGCGTAAAATGGCGGGCGTGTATGCGAAACTAGCCATCTGTATCCGTTTCCAGCTGAGATTTCGTCAGAGATCAACCCGTTGTCACTGGTTGATGGTACTTCCCAAATAAATGAAGCGGTCAACACGCTCCACTAACCACTTCACTCCCTATTTCCAAACTAGGAGTCAATGTAGTCCAGTCCAGTCCTGTAACATCATCTTACATTTGGTGGGAGCGAATCGCATGTCAAACATTCGTAGATTGCAGCTCAATTAGAGTCAATGAATGCACGTGATTGCATTTCAGCAAACTTATACGAATTAAAAACAAAAGTAAGTCTACGCAGTAAATAGCTAGTGGGGTAGTGGACGACAACAAAGCTAAAGATGAAAAGGGTAGTGGTGAAATATAACAGTAAAGTTGGGGCAAGGAGGTGTATATTATGATTGAGAGAAGAGAAAATAGTGGTAACTTATGCGCTGTGACTGGAACAACGAACAAATCATTTTTCGGGGGCACATCAGATAGTCCATACAACCTTAAACCTACACGTTATTCCTTCAGAATCTTGCCTACCGGGCTGTTAAACCTGTTGTTTTAAAAGCAACTTTAAGATTCCTTTAAAATTTGAACTTGAGATTTTTATTCGAAGACAAAAAGTGCCAATCTATTAGTATTAAATACACCGGTATATTAGGGAAAACAAAAACCTATCTAAAATCGACACTGACTGTATTTCTTGCCTAACGATATGCCCGACACAACACCATTTCAAACATATATGTATCTTTATATACATTTATATCAACTCAAATGAGAAACAAATCATGTATCGCTCAAATCGTCACACTACGCATCATCATTGAACAAAGCTTGGAATGGCAGTCACCTCTTTATCTCAACTTCATCGACTTTGAAAAGGCCTTCGATAGTGCAGCGTTGATCGAGAGGTGATTTGGCAACTACTTCGTTACTACGGTGTGCCACCGACAATTATACATCTCATCCAACAGTTAGTTGTACGACAATGCTGCATGCCGCCAAGTAATCCACGACGGGAAACTTACGGAATCCTTCAAAGAAGTAAAGACGGGAGTAAGACAAGGCTGGCTGTCTACTATCGCCAATGATTTTCCTGACAGCAGTAGACTGGATAATGCG